ATAGTTTATGTTTAACCGATTTACCTCACCTCATATATTCGTAGTTACTATTAATCTTAGATTTTTTATAAGTACTTAGTTAATTTTTAATTGTACGATCTTTTTTCAACATTCTCGATGTTCTAGAACCTTTTTTACTTACCAACTACTTATATACGCCTGTTACCCCTCACAGAGGAGCATAGGCCGCCCACCAGCACTCTCCATCAAACCCTATCCTGAGCAATCCATTCCAGTGGTTATGAACCTGTAAGGTTACGTGAAATGGTTGAGCGTTTGCAAACATTGAATCAAAATGAATTAATTAAATATAAGTAGTTTATCTCCAACAAACAATAAAGAATTATGGTATTCTTATTTACCTGAAATTTCGTTTTGTGTGAGATTTATACATTTTCGTACTTGGTTTCTTACACAGACTGACAACAGTTGTGGAACTTTTAAAAGTCAAGAAGCACTAGAAAGTTGTCTCATCCTAATTTAATAATACCTTATAGTACCTATTCACGACACCACAGAGTATTAAATCGATAGATTGTAGTGTCAGTTTCTATGTTAAGCACACACAGTTTATTCTAGCTATCTGACAAGCCAATTTATTCATCTTTCTTTAGTCACGTTTTGACCTTGTTAATTATTCATTTTTCAGCTCTGACTTCTTTTATCTGAGCGTATGTGTGTGCACTTCTTATCCTATTTATCACATGTCTGTAACTTATTGTAGTCTGACTATAAACATCGATTAACGCCTGATTAAACTGAGTTAGTTCACATGCCTTCTCCACCACGTATCATTTCGCTTCGTTTCCTTGACCACTTGTTTGGATCAACGACTATATGAAATACACATATTTGGAATTCACTCCCGCGTTTGACCTATTTAATTACGTTATTCACTAACGCGATTCAAGTCGAGGATAATATACAAGGATTAGTGACCTGTATATTTCGATAACAATAATTCGTACAATCTACATGAAGTCAGATATTCGAGGGCTACTGGAGTGGTAAGCCCATCGACAATATCATCGTCCGACCTAATTGGCGTCAAAATAATTGACTACCTAAAAGTTTTCAGAACTTATGACCAATAAAATACCACTAAACTACTTATTCAGAATCCATATGTTCAATATAGTTATAGTTTACCTAAATATTGATTCATTATAAAAATCTACTTTTAAAATTTCAATATTCATTTGTAATTAATTTATTAATATTCACTTGGTATTGTTTATTTGAATCTTCCCATTGATGTTTAGGACTGCAACTAGTCAGTCTCTTATTGGCATATGTGAATACTGTGCGTATTGCCTCGTCATAGCCCTAATTCACAAGCGGTATAAGCAAAGATAAACAGTGGTTAGCAGTGGAATCCAGTATACGCGTTTCGTCCTATTTGGGACTCGTCAGCTGAATGTACCTGCATCTCATTTATCAATAGTTTAATAAATAAAGAATATGTTTCTAAAAAATATTTAACAAAAATTAAATGAACATTTTTATTCATTTAATTTTAGACAAAAACTAAAAATTGTTTCTTATTGTGAGGGCGGTCCACAGGTGAAGTTGAGGAAGCTCTAAGAAGCCCAGAAGGAGCCGAACATATTCCATCCAATCAGCTTTTGGAAGAATATTCTAGAATCACTACGTGTAGCTTCCCTATTGGACAATGCTGATAACTCCCTGTGTACGGATTTGATAACTATTATGATGATTTCGTTTCTACTAAAAACTATAAATACCTGACCGTTTTGTACCATAATTGACACTGTTTGGAATAATATTTCTTCTACTTGTCTTCTGATTTCGGGACTTGGGAGGGTTATAGCGTCTTAGTGCTCAAGTATTACGCGACATACTAAAAGTCTAAGGTTCAAGATATAACACTTATGAAAAGTAAATTTATATTTAAAATCTTGATAATAATTTAATTTTGAAAATTAAATCCCGCTGAATAAATAATAATAATAATAATCAAGTATGATTACTTATTATGAAATTAATGTAATGAAATATAATTATGAAACTGTAATGAATCGGTTGAAAAGATTAGATATTCTAGTATATTATGTTATGTAATAAATAACGGATAAGCATTATTATTATTATTATTATTATTATTATTATTATTATTATTAGTAGTAGTAGTAGTAGTAGTAGTAGTATTAGTATTAGTATTATTATTATTAGTAGTGTCTATATTCAATATTATATTTTTGGTATAATATAGAAAGCACAAAGTATTTCAACAAGTTTCCTTTTCTTATTACTTGATTGATCCTGACGATAAATATTGAGTGATTGCCAGGTAGAAGTTAGCTGTCCAGTCAATCGACATCTAAATAATGTACATTCTTTTTGATGCATATTGCCAGTAATCACGATATCTCTGATTGGAACCCTTTTGTAACTTGTACAGAGAAATATCGTAAACTTTTCACAAACGCAATTAAATAAGTTATGAGATTAATAGTTTTAATGATGTGTTAAAACAAACAAGAAAACAAATAACTTGTTGAAATATTCAAGTGGCAGGAACTGGTTGCCCAGATATTCTAGCAGGCTTCATTTATCAGGACTAAGTTGTATTAATGTTTGAGCTCCTATGGTGAATTAATTCTCATATATTGTGAGGGTAATGAGTCCTCTGATCTGGAGGACAGACATTTCAGACTACTTCTTATAATCCTAGTTATGACAAACAATCATCACATTGCCTTTATTTAGATGAAACTGTACAGTTAAATTTAAGAAAAGCACAAATAAGGTAAAAATGAAACAAGACTACAGATCTTAGATGAATAATAATATTCAATTCAAAGCATGTGTTTTGTTTCTGAACAAATATATGAAAGATGTTTACAGATATATAGGTATACAAGTCGAATGAAAGATTTATTTGTTGTATTTTTCTAATTCTTCATTACTTCCCTCGAAGTTTAGTTAAATTTTGTAAAAATGAATGTAACTATTTGGTTTTAAATCAATGCTTTTTCAATAACCCTCGTTAACTAAATAGGGTATACTGTTGAAAAGTACTATCATGGATCTTTTAAAAAAATATGCATGCAGGTTGATTAAGAGAATTCGATCTGAACTAAGTAATGAACAAACATGGCATTAACTACTATTCAATAAACAATTAATACGAACATCACATTTCTATTTTAGGATATTTTAAACCTGGGTATACCACTGTAGTTGTAACACTGGATGATATGCTTTCAAATCATGCGAAAGCATCATTTCATTGAAAATCATAGATATGCTTTACTGAATTATATAAATTATAATCTAATCTAGATTCACAGCTTTCTGTTGCTCGCTTACGATGATATCAAATGAAGTGTGTCACGATAATGAGTCACTTGATCTTGTGGTCCTATTGCAAATCAACTAGTAGGATTCGATTAGTATCAAGGAATAAATCACTTAACACTGTTTACAACTAAATAAATTTATGTATCACAGAATAAATTTTTAAACCTGAGCTTAGAGCCTCTAAGGCTCTTGTGATAGAACTATTATAAACTTGCATAGCCATAAATAAACAAATAAATATATCTTTGTATTGAAAGAAAGAGTAGTCATTTTCAATCAAAATAAGCTTGCAACCTATACCTTCAGTTTAAAACTTGTCCTCAGTTTATGTCAACACTTTTAAAAGCGGTTAACTTAAACCATCTTAGTATAATTGATTTTTCGACTAATACTTACTAACATATATATTAATGGATAGTTTGAGTCTACATCCATATGTTTATTAACTACTGATAAACATGAATGCCGCTAAAATTCTAGAAACTCCGAAAACTAACAATCATTGCTTCTTCCAAATTATTGCTGATGATATTTTAAATAATGGTAATGAAATTCACTTAGTACTGTTTGTTTGAATCTTCCCATTGATGTTTAGGACTGCAACTGGTCAGTCTCTTTTTGGCATATGTGCATACTGTGCGTATTGCTTCGATATAGCCTAAATTCACAAGCATGGTAAGCAAAGATGGATAGTGGTTAGCAGTGGAATTCTGTACGCGCGTTTCGTCCTATTTGGGACTAGTCAGCTGGATGTACCTGCATCTCAGAGTTGCTGTTCACTCTGAGACTCGAACCCAGTACATTTCGCTTCAAACGCCATCGCGTTATCCACTCGGCCACTGAGTCCTGAAAGGTACTGGGTTCGAGTCCCAGAGTGAACGTCAATTATGAGATGCAGGCACATCCAGCTGACGAGTCCCAAATAGGACGAAACGCGTGTCCTGGATTCCACTGCTAGCAACCATCTATCCTTGCTTACAATGGTAATGAAAGCTATTTATAGACAGAACATCATGCCAAGAAAATTTACTTGATTCATAAATGTTCTTGACTGCTTACGTTAGTCATAATTCGCTTGTTTATATTATTAAATGTAGACAAAGAATAAATTTTGAAAAAAACCAAACAAAAAAACTAGAGTGAATAAGATTTGAAAATAATAATTTACCAATTACTGACGTAAATTTATAATTTTGTTTTAACAAATGTTAACCATATAATTTAAAGAAGATTCGTTTTAACTATATTCATCCCTTTTAAATTACTAGAATTATTACGGCTGATGTTGTATTAATGTTTAATGTGTGCTTTACTTGTAAACTGTTATAAAGGTAGGATACGTGTTATAACGCTAGGTTTTCTTCTTATAACAATCCTTTCATCTTTTACACGTATATGGGACGTTAATTTACCTTAGACGAATATCTACACTAGATTCCCACCTGTCGAACTATCTACATGTCTGACTCAATTAAAGAACCAATCATTATCATTCTCGTCTACATATCATAAACAATTAAGAACTTGCAGTTACGATCATATTCCAATCATTTTTGAAGAAGCCCGTATATCCTCTTAAACTCTTGAATTGTGTAAGAGTTCATTTTTATTACTTAAACTTCGTCAAGTATACTAAAAGTGAATTCACTCGTCAGTGGATAATAAAAAAAACACATTTTCTGTGACCGCATTAATTGGTAATAGAAAAAATCTTCAATAAATAACACTATCAAACAAAATTACATTCATGTTAATAATTAGCTATTAATTAACTTAATGTTCAAACTACAATATAATGTTAATGTATATTACACAGTATAGTTGATATATATAACCCAACTCGTCAATAGAAATTGATTATGATAAAGTCTATTCTGAGGATGATATATATACTGTCTAACCTGAAAGGTTAATAGTTTATTTTAAAAAGTAAAAATTACATAAAATCATAAAAAGATATCTAATTAACATATCCATATTCCATAATGTTAATAGTCTAAATTTTTACATCAAAATAATGTGATTACATATTGATTTGATTGAATGGTTCTGCTTTTCTTCAGACAGAAGCAGATCTCTTTGTAGACACATGCTGACAGACTTCAAAGATTGATGAATTGCTAGAAATTTTTATCTCATCATCTATGCTACTTACATCATTTGTTAGTAATATATCATCATGACAATAATATGGGTTATGACGTTTGTTCATATATTCTTTGTCAAAATCAACGCTTTCTTCACCATAATTATCAATTTCATTCGTTTTCATCTGTTGTTCTTGATGAATTCTAGGATACCGCTTGCATTGAAAATATGGAATTGAGTTTAAACCGATCTCATTTTCATTTGATCGTGGATTTACAAATTGTAATGGAAACGGGTTTATCAATGGCTGATTAGATTTTAGTAGATCCATTTGATGATGCGTTGATAAAGATAACAATGGATATATCATCTCATCTCCTGATGATAATGGTGGTTGACTGCTTAAAGACTGTTTTGGAGGTAGAATATATTGATTATTAAAGTTATGCTTATGAGATTTTAAACCATGAGCAACTAAAGAGGAATGTACTGAAGTAGACATTACCTCATTAGTATTTTTATACCTACCAGGTAAACTAAAATGATTCAATGAAGTACACTCATAAGTATGCGGTTTTAAAGTAGACATCGGATGTAAATAAGATTGCATTAAATCGATATCATTAAACGAACTACTCTTATTTTCAGACAGATTATCACTGTCGATTATTTCATTTCCTTCTATAATTTCTGGTTGCCGATTATTCACTAAATATTCTTTAGTAGAAATGAAATACTGATAATTTCGTAATTCTTCATTTGTACAGTCACAATCATCAATTGAACATTGTTGTATTATAAACGGTGAATATTTAGAATCTTGAATAGAATAATATGGATTATAACGATATGAACTTATATAATCTGAATAAATGTAACGATTTCTACATGACGAATCATATTGAAGAGAATTTGATGAATTCAGTAGTTCACTTGAACAATTATTTTTATGTAAACTTGAAGAAATTTGTTGAGAGACTTCATTATAGATTAAAAGTGGATTATGTACAGTTGACTGTTGATTGTAACAACCAGTTACACAGTTTATTAAAAAGGGATTATTATTATTATTATTGCCATTATTAGTATTATTATCATTAATATAGGTAATAGTTGTAGTTGTAGTTGTAGTAACAGTAGTCTTAGCTATAGAATTCGGTTTATTTAATATATTTTCATGTGAATTATCATTTATTATAGTTAATGATGATGAATTTAGTATATCCGATGATAATGATGCTAATGATTGTGATAATGGATGAAATTTTTTTAAACAAATTAAACATAATTTCAATTTAGTTAAATGTTCATTTTTTGAATCAATATGATAAGTATTAGTATGAGGATTAATAAGTAAACAATTATTGACTGTTGTTGATGCCATGGTTGTTGTCACTGTTGTCATTGTTGATAATGGTTCCGGTTTGATTAAATAATTTGAATTAGATAATGACATCATATGATGATTACAATTCATAAGATTATAATTGATATTTTGTTGACAAGTCGAATAATTATGATTATTTAATTGTTTACTATTATATTCTTCTTCTTCTTGTTCTCTTGGTAACTGTTTCATTACAAATGATTTATGTAATTCATTATGTTTATTAGCGCATATTACATCACCACGTAAACGTTTTAATTCTTCTGCATATACAGCTGCTTCTAATTGATCACGTTTTTCATCTTCCGTATTCATTGTTAAAAATCTTAATACTAATAAATTCATTACAGAACTAACTACAGTTAAACCAAATAATATAAATATTAAACTAAATGCAACATAATCCGGTCGTTTAGCTAATGAATTATTACGTTGTAATGCAACAAAATCACCAAAACCAATTGTAGTTAATGTAATAAAACAATAATAAAATGAATCTAAATAATCCCAATCTTCATAACGTGAAAATACTATAGCACCAATAGTTAATACAATGGAACCAATGGTAAAGCTAACAATCATTAAATGTGTTTGTGATATAAGTTTATTTATTTTACATAATGAATTAGATTTATTTAATAAATAAGTTATAATTGTATTCATACGTTCACCAATACTTTGAAACATAATAAGACATAATGGTATACCAGGTAATGCATAACACATACAAAATATTTTACCACCAAATGTTTTTGGTGTACTATGACCATAACCTAGAAAATAAAATTTAAAAAAAATTGAGAAAAGATTATAAAAAAATAATAATGAATTGTAACTATGTGAAAAAAAACAAGACAATAAAATGGTAAGCAAAGATGGATAGTAGCTAGCAGTGGAATGCAGAACGCGCGTTTCATTCTATTTGGGACTCGTCAGCTGGATGTACCTGCATCTCAGAGTTGATGTTCACTTTGGAACTCGAACCCAGTAACTTTCGCTTCAAACGCCGTCGCGTTATCCGCTCACCTACTGAGTCCTAATAGCCACTTGCTTGTGCCAATTAGAGACTGACCAGTTGCAGTCCTAAACATCAATAGGAAGATTCAAACAAACAATACTAAGTGAATTAAAACAATAAAATGTTTAATATAAGCAAAAATAGAATGGGTATTTCGTTCTATTTGGGACTCGTCAGCTGAATATAACTGCATCTCAAAGTTGATATTCACTCTGGGACTCGAACCCAGTACCGTTCGCTTGAAACGTCATCACGTTATTCACTTAGCTACTGAGTCGTGATAGCCACTTGTTTGTGCAATGGAGTGAAGTGAATTTATTAAAATGTTTAATTTTTCCAAGAAATTGAGAGTTAATAAAAAAAATTGTAATTTTGCTAAAAGATTTGAACCACATAGTAAGTTATTAAAACATAAATAACTCGGAATCTAACATAAATATTTATCATCTTAAGTTATAATTCCTTGAAAAAGCTTGAACCAGATTGTCAGGCGAAACGTTGGATTTACTTCAAATTCATTCGCTGAGATTTTACATGTATATGATTCTTATTTAATGTCTTACATCAACTCAGCTCTCAAATACTGTAAAACTATTCGCTATAATTTAGACGAAAGTTTTTATATATTTAAGTTTCTACACTTTACATAACTATAAATAGAGAAAATTAAAAAATTTAGTAATGATGTTGAGATAACTAACATAGTCGATGGTAAAAAACGAAACATGAAGAATATGTAAACACTTCTATTCGCTTATCACTGATACTTAAAATAAAATTCGACTAAGGTTCATTGGGATATAACCTTCTTGAATGGATGTTGAAAAAGTGTTTATAGCTGCAAGTTGACGGTGCACTTAGTCTTTGTGATCATTCTGTACCTGTGTCACAGGATTCAAATGCTAATGTGAACATCGACACTGAAAGGTAGATCAATTCAGCTGATTAGTCTCAAAAAAGACGATATCCGTATCTTGTACTCTTTTTTCAACAACTATCCTGAATAGAATCGAAAACATTTCTTTAAAGGATGAAAATAACATAACATTAACACTGTTGAATGCCGGCTCAGTGGTCTATCGGTTAAGTGCTATGGCGTGAGACTGGTAGGTCCTGGATTTGAATCTCTCGAGGCGGAATCGTGGATGCAAACTGCTGAGGAGTCCCACAACAGGACAAAACGGCCGTCCAATATTTTCAGGCTTTTCATGGTGATCTAGCTTCAATTGACTTATGATCTCAACTATATAAAATTACTAAAACCTCCACGAAACCCCCTTCTGATAAGAAAAAATTACAAAATAATATCGGGACTTCAAATTTGCAAAAAAAGGTAAAAAAAGGTGAATTTTCGCCACTTTCAGTGACATTTTTGTCATCTTATCTAAGATCTCCTACTATTGGTTAAAATCATCGCACGAATCCTAACGAGAAAGACTGTACAAAAATTTTATTTGAAGTATTTAACATGAAAGTATTTAAGCATTTTATTTTCACTAGATAGCTAGGTAAACGACCTAGCAGTTGTAATGAGATAAATATAATATATATTATAAATATAAGCCAATTATGGCAACATTGAACCGATAATCTGTAGTTATTTACATTGGTCATTTTTTAGTTTCTGATTCGAACTGTAACTCTGCCTGTAGCTCTTCTAGAGTTACTGCCGGTCCCAAGCCCACACAAAGGAGGAGGGTTGGGCATGGGGTTAGCGACCCCATCCCACAGAAAAGCTAACTCGTTAAAAAAACGCTAACCAGAAAAAATAATTCAAACCATTTAAACTCTGCCCTGGGAGTTGAAGGAATAATTATGACGTCTCATGATGAAAGCCGAAATTCTTCGGAAGTCACGAGACCGATGCACCTTCTAACAACCAGAGCAACACTCTTTATAGGTACATGGAACGTCCGGACAATGTGGGAGACAAGAAAGACCAGCCAAATAGCAATGGAAATGAGGAGATACAACTTGGCAGTACTCGGAATCAGCGAAACCCATTGAACACAAACTGGACAACAAAGGCTAGGTACAGGAGAGATGCTGCTGTACTCCAGTCACGAAGGGGAAAATGCTCCACACACTCAGGGAGTTGCTCTAATTCTGTCCAAAGAAGCACGAAATGCACTTGTGGGATGGGAATCTCATGGACCCAGGATAATCAAAGCATCATTCAGAACAATGAAGCAAGGGATCACAATGAACGTTATCCAATGTTATGCACCCACCAATGATAGCAACGACGATGATAAAGATCATTTCTATGAAAGGCTGCAATCAATTGTAGCAAAGTGCTCACGAAAGGACCTCACCATCCTTATGGGAGATCTAAATGCTAAAGTTGGAGTGGACAACACAGGATATGAAGATATAATTGGACGACATGGATTAGGAGAGAGAAATGAAAATGGGGAGAGACTTGCAAACCTATGTGCATTCAACAAATTGGTTATAGGCGGCACAATATTCCCACACAAACGCATACACACAGCTACATGGATCTCACCGGACCACACCACAGAGAACCAGATTGATCACATCTGTATCAACAAAAAATTCCGAAGATCAATGGAAGATGTGAGAACCCGGAGAGGAGATGACATAGCTTCAGATCACCACCTGGTTGTGGCCAAGATGAGACTGAAGCTAAAGAAAGACTGGACAACTGGACAAAAAGCACTACAAAGGTTTAATACAGCCTTCCTTCGAGATGCTGACAAACTCCATGAATTCAAGATAACTCTCAACAACAGGTTCCAAGCTCTACAGGATCTACTGAAAGAACAAGAAACTACTTTGGAGGATAACTGGAAAGGGATAAAAGAAGCACTAACTTCAACGTGTCAGGAGGTTCTTGGTCCTAAGAAGCATCATCACAAGGAATGGATCTCTATGGGAACCCTGGACAAAATTCAAGAAAGGAAGAACAAGAAACTAGCAATTAACAACAGGCGAACACGAGCAGAGAAAGTCAAAGCACAAGCAGACTACGCAGAAGCAAACAAGCAAGTGAATAAAAGCATTAAAGCCGACAAGCAGAAATACATGGGAGAACTAGCAACGACGGTGGAAAAAGCTGCAAGAGAAGGGAATATGAAACAACTATATGATACAACGAAGAAATTGGCAGGGAGATATAGCAAACCAGAGAGACCAGTCAAGGACAAAGAAGGAAAGACAATCACTGAGATTCAAGAACAGAGGAAAAGATGGGCAGAATACTTCGAGGAACTGCTGAATAGACCAGCCCCATTGAATCCACCGAACATCGAAGCAGCCCACACTGACCTTCCAATAGATGTCACTCCACCAACGATCGAAGAAGTCAACATGGCCATCAGACAAATCAAAAGTGGGAAGGCGGCAGGACCTGACAATATACCAGCAGAAGCACTGAAGTCGGACATTGAAATAACTGCAAACATGCTTCACCTTCTATTCAAGAAGATTTGGGAAGAGGAACAAGTGCCAACGGACTGGAAAGAAGGATATCTCATCAAGATACCAAAGAAAGGAGATCTGAGCCTATGTGAGAACTACAGAGGTATCAGTTTGTTATCAGTACCAGGAAAAGTTTTCAACAGAGTGCTGCTGAATCGGATGAAAGACGCAGTAGACGCCGAACTTAGGGATCATCAGGCTGGATTCCGTAAGGATCGGTCGTGCACAGACCAGATTGCGACACTACGGATCATCGTTGAACAATCAGTTGAGTGGAACTCATCACTATACGTCAATTTTATTGACTATGAGAAGGCGTTTGACAGCGTGGACAGGAGAACATTATGGAAACTTCTTCGACACTATGGAGTTCCTGAAAAGATTGTCAACATTATCCAAAACTCATACGATGGATTACAGTGCAAAGTGGTGCATGGAGGACAGCTGACAGATGCATTTCCAGTAAGGACCGGAGTCAGACAAGGCTGTCTACTCTCCCCATTTCTCTTCCTTCTAGTGATTGACTGAATTATGAAGAATTCGACATCTGGAGGGAAATACGGAATACAATGGACAGCTCAGAATCAATTAGATGATTTGGACTTCGCAGATGACCTAGCCCTCCTCTCTCATACACACGACCAAATGCAGATGAAGACAGCAAATGTAGCAGCAGCCTCCGCATCGATAGGTCTCCACATTCACAAAGGAAAAAGCAAGATTCCCAAATGCAACACGGAGAACACCGACCCAATCACACTTGATGGCGAAACTCTGGAAGAGGTGGAAACATTCATGTACCTGGGGAGCATCGTTGATAAACAAGGAGGATCGGATGCAGATGTAAAGGTGAGGATTGGCAAAGCAAGGGCAGCATTTCTACAATTGAAGAACATATGGAACTCAAAACAACTGTCAACCAATTTCAAGGTGAGAATCTTTAATACGAACGTCAAGACAGTCCTACTGTATGGAGCTGAAACGTGGAGAACTACTACGACCATCATCAGGAAGGTACAAGTATTTATAAACAGTTGTCTGCGCAAAATACTTAACATCCACTGGCCGGATACTATCAGCAACAGCGTTTTATGGGAGAGGACAAACCAGCTTCCAGCTGAAGAGGAAATTAGGAAAAGACGTTGGAAGTGGATCGGACATACATTAAGGAAATCACCAATGTGCATCACGACTCAATCCCTAACTTGGAACTCGGAAGGGAAGCGGAAAAGAGGAAGGCCAAAGAACACACTACGCCGGGAAATAGAAGCCGATATGAAAAGGCTGAATAGTAACTGGAAAGAACTGGAA